GTTCCCCAAGGCTCCATCCTTGGCCCCACTCTATTCCTTATCTTCATCAACGAACTTCCTGGTGCCATAGATTCCCAAGTTGGCATCTACGCGGACGACACTACAATTTACTCCTGCCTCAAAAACAAATCTAGTGTCGGTGACAAAACTAAACTGGCCGTGCGTCTTGAAATGGGCCTCCAATCGGTTGTTAACTGGGGCAAGAACTGGCTGGTCATACTGTTTCCCCGAGAGCTATAATCTCCAACTTTTCAAATGTAATGTCAATCGACATCTCCAGTTACCTTGATCTTTTCCGCTATCCCTTTCCTCACCCTTTCTTCTGTCACTCCTATCTGCTCTCGCTCCAAATCTTCTGCAACCCCCTGCATCCTAGTGGCTTCACGCCTTGCTCGGGGCGTAATGCTTAAAATACATATATATATATATATATATATATATATAGAGAGAGAGAGAGAGAGAGAGAGAGAGAGATAATGCCTGTACGCTATTAACAGTGGTGCTGTCCAAAGGGAAAAGAAGAAATAGAAATTTCGTTGTTAAAAGAAGGGGAAAATGAAAGCCCAATTATAATGTCTCGTCTTGTAAATAAACCGTGTTCAGTGTTGCATTCCCCAGAGTTTTTTTTTTATTTTTTATTTATTGGGCCTGCTCGTTACAAAGACAATGATCTCAGCTTCGTTTTAGCCTTGCTGCATAATAAAATAAGTTCAGGAAATATAGATTCCAGTTTACATTGGACAATACCGTGTGTGAAATATTTACGTACACCTTACATGTGCTATAGGTCGCCTTTCGATCTCAAATAAAAAGGCATTATTTTTTTTCTCAGTACCAAATTTCTCTCCACAAGAAACACATAAAATAACACAAATTTCTCTCCACAAGAAACACAGAAAATAAACACCATCCACATCTGGTTTTCTGTTGTATTAAGTTAGGTTTAGCAAATAGCGAGCATTAGCGTCAGAAAGTAAATCGAAGCAGTGAACGGCTAACAAAACCGCAAGTGTGACTCAGATCTAGTGAATTTAACGTTAACTTTAGAGATGGTAACAGGCCAAGTGTTGAAACCCATTAGACACGCTTATGTCATCAAAACCAAGCATACAAACAAATGTACACACACCTACACATATTTTAAATCGGGTATTGAGTTTGAACAAAACTTTTCAGCGTTTTCTTAAGTGAATTTCAAAGACAATATTTCAATAGCTATACGTAGATTTATCCAACAATATATATATATACCATTTTGTTTCACTATCTTTCGCCATTTTTCAGGACGTCTTATCGTTCCACCTTCCCAGAACTTGTCATCTTTTATAGTAATGAACTAGTCTAAGTGTGTTATTTTACAGGTTTCCAGAAAATAGAAGAAGTTTTTTTTTTCTCATGAATAGAATTTTATAGAAATCTTAATAAGTGTGATCGAAAGGTTCAACTTCAAGTGAGTACGTTCTGTGCAATAGAATACTCCAACCAAACTGTACCAATCTCTGCCGGGTTCTTCAAATAGACGTGAGGCCTGGCTCTGAACTCATGGATAGCGACACCCTTTTGATTGACCAAATCTGGACGCATTTCATCGATCACTGCCTTTCATCAGATTAACTGGTATTAGGTTGTCCCAAAAGTTCGTAAACACTTGCGAAAAATTGAATTTTTATGCAATTTTTAATTGTTTTTTTACTTTATCGAGAATTGGCTGATGAGATTGGAGTTGGCAAATGGACAACTCACCGACACTTGAAGCAACTTGATTTTGTTCACAAAAAGCCGCGCCAAGATCCGCACGAACTCACCAAAGCACAAGCCAACAAGCGAGTTGAAATTTGCCGTTAATTGCTCAGCAATCCATTGGACGAGCGTTTTTGGACGCGCATTGTGACATCGGACGAGAAATGGGTCTATCTGGTCCAGCACAATCGAGACAAGCGATGGGTTCAGAAAGGACAGGAGACACCGTCGGTTCCAAAACAAGATCGATTCGACAAGAAAGTCATGTTGTGCGTTTGGTGGAACTTTGAAGGAATCGTGCATTTTCAGTTGGTTCCTAATGGTCGTGCCATCAGTGCCGAACTTTACTGTCAGTAACTGGAGCGGGTCTACGAAAAGTTGAAGCAAAAGTACCCGGCTCTGATCAACCGAAAGCGCGCTTTGATGCAGCAGGACAATGCCAAGCCACACACCGCCAGGAAGACCAAAGACAAGTTTGAAGAGCTGGACGGCGTTGAGGTTCTTCCACATCCAGCCTACAGTCCTGACTGTGCTCCATCAGATTACGGCCTTTTCCGCTCAATGCAACACTTTCTGAAGGGCCGCCGATTGGACTCATTTGATGAAGTCGAGGAAGCGTGTCAAGAATTCTTTGATTCGAAGCCGGCTGAATGGTACTTTTACCAGATCCGAAAGCTTGCAGATCGATGGCAGAAAGTCTTGGAAAATGATGGTCTTTATTTTGAGGAATAATTTTTGTTGTTTTTGTTATTACTTGGCGAGTAAAATTTCAATTTTTTTGTAAGTGTTTACGAACTTTTGGGACAACCTAATAAAAGTCTAAATTCAAAAAACTGATCCTGCGGAAGGAGGTTGCAATAAAACGTCCTTCTATTCCCAGCATGTACACATCAACATCTTCTTCGGACGCAGACCGGCTATTGGAGTAGTTAACCATGGCTCTTTTCGATTCCCTGTGACCTTTCTCGTACCACAATGCTGTAAACAATCTATTTTTCATCGTCTGTAGTTGGTGGGACTATTCAAAAATGGATTGTTTTTTGTTGCCTTTGAACAGCAAATCAAGGGCGGATATGTGGTGCATTATTTGTTTTCGTTAAATCCTCAGGTTTTTAAACATCTTAGCAATTCAGGGATACAAATGTTTTCAAATGTTTTACAACGTTCATATGAAGTATGTGAGGGTGCACGTCTACCATGGCCTGTGTCCTGTGACCGACATTTGTTTTTTGTTTTTTTTCTGACACGTGTTTAAACATAGATCGCCAGTGAACAAACGCAGGAGATCTCATTACTGAATTAAGTAGATCACGTGACCATAGCGGAAACGCATATAGAGAGGAAGTCGCGTGACGTCTTCGGTGTGTTCGCTATTCTAGTGTGTAAACCTGATTCAATTTTTGTTCCTTGCCCGGGTTTTTGCGATCGGGTCCCCACTTTAAAAAAGACCTTGTGTCACATCTCGTCCTAGTGGGGGGGGGGACGAGTAAATACTGTGTGTTCGCTATTATATCCCATTCAATAAATCATATGTTCGCTATTCTCTTCTATCCCCTATACTATACGAATCTCCGTTTCTTCTCTATACTAGTTCACTATAACCTCTATCTATAAAAGGCAGGATGTGTGTGTGTGTGTGTGTGTGTGTGTGTGTGTGTGTGTGTGTGTGTGTGTGTGTGTGTGTGTGTGTGTGTGTGTGTAACGAATGCACGGCCGCAATTTTCGACGGATTTGCACCAAGATTTACATGCACATGCTCCAAGTTAGCGGGAAGGCCAAAACCGACTTTGCATTTCCCAACTCCAATTGATAGTGGAAATAATCGATTTTTTCATACTTCTACGTCAGTTTTCATGTAGTTTGCGGCCATTTTCTACTGGCCAGAGTGAGAGCCAATAGCTGGCTGCCACGAACAGGCAGGAAGATTCTATTGGTCAGCGTGAGAGCCAACAGCTGACTGACACGAATGTTAACTAGCTCGATAGCTGCATTCGTCACAAGTGGGAAAAATTTAAATCTGCATGGCACTTTACTCCAATTGGCTCATTCGCTTGCTTAAACTCAACGTTGATTCTGATTCCGCAGAACTGGGTTGGGTGTGAAAAAGTATTTGTTGTTAACATTCTTTTTTCATTCGGTTTTTCCAGTTACGAGTCCTTTTTTGAAAGCTGATCGTTTTGTGTTCATTTTGTTTAGTTCTTTTTTCGTAACAGATTTAATGTTTAGTATAGAGCTTAGAAAAAATTCGCAGTGTGAGATAGGTAAGAAGTAAGGCATGTAGCAACATCAGCACGGCAAAGAGCACTCCTTTAAAGGCAAGGAAGGGCAAAAATATTTTAAATCAAGTGATAGCGATTGTGGTATGAGTCGTACGATCTTTGAATCAAGCACGGGCAACGCCGGGCCATGCTGCTAGTAAGTACTATTACTACGTGTATTATTCTAAGACGTCTGATACTAGTACTGTTCAACGGCCTGTTATAATTGGTATCTGCGATTACAAAATGTTCTACTACGTTGTCATTGACGGAGTCCCAAGCAAGTATACGTTGTCATCACAACAGTGGCAACAAAGTGTCGTTTTGACGACACAACATACGTACAGACGTTTGTGGCAATGAGACTTTCCATCATTTAAGCATATAGAAGAGTCAATTATCAGTACGCTTACTTTTGACTACACAATGTTTGTACAAGAGTGCACAGCGAGCATCTGTTAATAAAGAGACGTGCAGTGCAAAAATAATTGATCTCCCTGGGAATTTTCGGTTCGTGAAATGTGAAAATATGTTATTTTTTGTTGTTGCTGTTCATTTCCTGTCTCTTTATTTTTATTTATTTATTTATTTATTTTTGTAAAGATATGTGTCCAAGTACAGGAAACTGATTGACATCAAGCTATTTCCAAAACAGTTTGACATGAAAAAGTTATATATTATGTATACAAGTACTTACTCGTGTGTGTTTGTTTGTTTGTTTGTTTGTGTGCGTGTGTGCGCACGCGTGCACGACAGTGTAGGTTAATAAGCATGGATATAGATAAAAAAAAATAAACGTTACAGCATAGCACTTGAATGTATTAGTCTTCATGCTATGACACTCAGATATATATATATATATATATATATATATATATATATATATATATATATATATATATATATATATATATGTATGTATGTATATATATACACACACATACGCACACACACACATGCATATACCCATTTACTCACGAATTCACATGCAAACATTTACGCATGTATTTACTTTTTCTCTGTCAGATTCTTTTTATTTATTTTATCTTTTTTCCTTTGGCATTTTTATTCTTTCTTTATTTCCTTCTTTCTTTTTCTTCCTTTCTTTCCTTTTTTCTTTATTTCCCTCTTTCTTTATTTCCTTCTTTCTTTCTTTCTTTTTCTTTCTTTCTTTCCTTATTTCTTTCTTTCCTTTCTTTTTCTTTCTTTATTTCCTTATTTCTTTATTTCCTTCTTTCTTTCTTTCTTTTTCTTTCTTTCTTTCCTTATTTCTTTATTTCCTTCTTTCTTTCTTTTTCTTTCTTTCTTTCCTTATTTCTTTCTTTCCTTCTTTCTTTCTTTCTTTCTTTCCTTAAATCTTTATTTCCTTCTTTCTTTCTTTCTTTCTTTCTTTCTTTTTCTTTCTTTTTCTTTCTTTCCTTTTTCTTTATTTCCTTCTTTCTTTCTTTCTTTCTTTCTTTCTTTCTTTCCTTAAATCTTTATTTCCTTCTTTCTTTCTTTCTTTCTTTCTTTTTCTTTCTTTTTCTTTCTTTCCTTTTTCTTTATTTCCTTCTTTCTTTCTTTCTTTTTCTTTCTTTTTCTTTCTTTTTCTTTCTTTCCTTTTTCTTTATTTCCTTCTTTCTTTCTTTCGTTTTCTTTCTTTTTCTTTCTTTTTCTTTCTTTATTTATTTCCTTTCTTCTTTCTTTATTTCCTTCTTTCTTTCCTTTCTTTGTCTTTCTTTCTTTCCTTTTTACTTTAGTTCTTTCCTTATTTTTTTATTTCCTTCTTTCTTTCTTTCCTTTTTTCTTTCTTTCTTTCCTTTTTTCTTTCTTTCTTTCTTTCCTTTTTTCATTATTTCCTTCTTACTTTCCTTTCTTTTTCTTTTTTTCTTTCCTTGTTTCTTTCTTTCTTTCTTTCTTTCTTTCTTTCTTTCTTTTGTTTTCTTTGACATTGTCTCCATACAGTATTATTTTCCCATCTCTTTCTTTCTCGACCACTTTACCACACTTCCCTCTTTTTCTTCTCCTCTTTTTCCTTCCATTTCTTTCTCTTCCTTTTCTCATAACTCCAACCTCTCCTTTTTCTTTCTTGTCCCCTTTTCGCACAGTTCCACTTTCGCACTTTTTCTCTTCCCTCATTCGCTCCAACATTTTTTATGCTCTCTCTCTCTCTCTCTCTCTCTCTCTCTCTCTCTCTCTCTCTCTCTCTCCCCACATGCATGCCCGTCTCTTTTTCTTGGTTTTGAATTACTCTCCATTTCTCTTTCTTTATTTTCTACCTTTTTTCTCTCTTTTACTCTTGTTTTTCATACACTGCTTGTCTCTTATTCTTGTCTCCTCTTTTTCTTGCTATTCGTTTTCTCCTTTCTTTCACTCTCATTTCCAGACCGCCCCCTCTTGATATATTCTTACATCTGTATTTATGCCATTTCTTAATTACTTTTCCCTTGTTCTTTGCCATTTCCATTTGGCGCCATTTTTTCTCTCTTTCTTCATTTTTCTTTCATATTAATTTTCTTTTTCTTTTTCTCACCTTTTCGCTCTGTTTACTTTTTAACGCTCCTTCTTTTCTTTGTTATTCTCTTTACCTTTATCGAATTCTTTCTATCACGATTTCTTCCTTTCTTTCCTTTTTTCAGTTCGGTTTTCTCTTTCTTTCTTTTTTATAAATTCTTTTCTTTTTTTTTAAAAAACCATATACATTAAACTGATTTCTTTTCTTTATTATCTATGAATTGTCTTTAATTTTTAAACAATATTTATTGGTCTATCGGTCGGCGCCCTCGAGAAAAATAATAAAGAAAATGTGACCACTGGCAGGATTTGAACCCGCATTCCCCCTTATTTTAGGAGAAATATACATACGTGGTGTACCCCCCAAATTTGATAATTCTCGGTCAAAGAATCTCAAGTTTTAACAAAATGTAATAAAAACTAAGTTGATTTTCTTTTCTTTTTTTCAAGGTGAAGAATGACGTCCCCTAAAAATTAAAAGGTATTTGGTGTGTTACAATATGCTCGGATACAGTCAAAGAAGATTGTGCAGCGGACATTTTCGAGAAAATTCAAGAAAGATCTACAAACTGGAAAGCGGACTTGGACATGGCACAAAAAAAATTCAAAGGCACTGGAGAATGTTACGCAAGACATGCTACAGCGAGTTTGGCAGGAGCTGGACTACCGACTAACGGGTGTCTTATCACAGGTGGTGCACATATTGAACCTTAGTGAAAATTTGGAAATCAACAAAAAATCAACATCCCTTTAAATATCTTTTTCGAATTTTGATACATAAATCTTTTATTGTTCAACATGAGGCCGATTTAATGGTGTGTTTGGAACATGTAGTTTCTCAGATATTTACATTTTTATTATGCCAGTTTTTGGGGTGGACATTGCGCATATATATATATATATATATATATATAACATAAATATATATATATAATATCTATATAAATATAATATATATAATATATATATGTACTATATATATATATATATAATATAATATATATATATATATATTATATATATATTTATAATATATATATATATATATATATATATATATATATATATATATATATATATATATATATATATATATATATATATATATATATATATATATATATATATATATATATATATATATAGTGGGTGTCCATAAAGTTCGTGTGCAATTTAAAAACTATAACTTTATTTGTATTTGCGATAGAAATAATTTGTAAAAACGATTAGAAAGAAGTAAATCTATACTTTTTCAAGGTGTTATTGAAATTTTATTTAAGTTTCCACATGTCCGCCATCATTAGCAATACAAAGGGTAATACGATTTTGCAGTTCACGGAAAACATTTGCCACCTGATTTACAGTAATGCCTGAAATCACATTAATTATTTTAGCTATACTTAAAACTAGGTACATTAAACTTTATAACATCTTTTACAGATTATTTCTATGGCAAATACAAATAAAGTTATAAATTTTTTTAAAGTGCACATGAACATTATGGACACCCTGTATATAATATATATATATATTATAATATATATATATAGTACATATAATATATATATATATATATATATATATATATATATATATATATATATATATATATAGTGTGTGTGTGGTCTAATTTATTTTCTTTTTTTGATGTCATTCTGCAAAATTAGACCGACAAATAAACTTGCAAAAATCAAAGCATTCTAACCAAAATATTTCTCCCTGTCCTTTTTTTTTCAGCAGCCAAGAATTATACGCTGTCAATTTAATGTCCTCTTGTCCTGCTTTTCAAGTGACAAAAGAACAAAATGTAACAACAAAACATTTTGCTGGTAACAAAAAAAAAAAAAATGATTGAAAAAAAGGAAGAAAAATTAGCGGTAAAAACATCACTGAAATTGAATATTTCTTCTACAAGCAAGACGCGTGAAATTTTTCCTGTTTTAATTTTGGCTTTCTTTCTTTCTTTCTTTCTTCCTTTCTTTCTTTCTTTCTTTCTTTCTTTCTTTCTTTCTTCCTTTCTTTCTTTCTTTCTTTCTTACTGAAATCAAACAACGTATGTGATATTTCTTTTACGTTTTTCTTCCCGTTCAAGTCCATTTTTCCTCTTTAAATTTTGTCTATCTGATTTTCTTTATTACTGAAATCAAACAACGTCTGTGATATGTCTTTTCTGTTTTTATTCGCATTCAAAACGGAACAGTCCATTAGTTATGCGAGCTTAGCAGGGCGTTTCTTTGTTTATTTTTCTTTCTTTCATTCAGTTTCTGAGTGAAACCAAGTAGCTTCTCTGTATGTCTATTCCGTCTTTCTCTCGATCAAAACGGAATAATCCATTATTTATTAGGCAATGACAGGGCATAACGGTCGTGCTAACGAAGTAAGAAAAGAACAAGCAAAATTATTATACGATTTTTTGGGGAAGCTCTCGCTTTTTGGATATAGGAAATGTAGCCTATCCTTTACTAGTTATATTTATTATCCACGGCCAGTTTTTTTTTTTTTTTTTCGTAAAATACATAAAATTATAAAAAGGGATGGAAATGCAAAGTTTTCAGTTCAATCTCCAAGATAACAACATGATGAATCTACAAACTATATTCTGTCGCTTGAATTCCTGACCACTGAGAATACATTTCTATTTGATTTCAATTCATTTCTATACCAAAAATATTAGCAATGCATTGACCTTATATAGATAATAGGCATACTTGTATTAATGTCTGACCATTAAGAATCCTTTCTCTTAATTTTAATGCAAATTCTATAATATAAAGTTTCTGCAAATGAGTAACGACCAAAACAGAGGTTGGAAATGAAATGGTAATCTTTATAACAGCAACAAAATACAATACTCGCCAGCAGCGTTAAGTAGGTAAACCACTGCTTGTGGTGGACTACTCAGACAGCATATTAACCCCCACTTACAGTAGTGTCCAACGTATTTATGAAGAATGGGACATACCTCTTGTAACTGGGGGAACAGTCCTATGGTTAGAGAGAATTTCAGTTGAGTTCTACCACGGAATATGTGAGCGAGCAGCGCTATATTGAGTCTGATTTGCAATCCCTGCGTCACCGAGTCCTGTTGGAACAGTTGGTATGACGTTTGCACGATAGCCTAACTGTCAGGGTTTCAATTCTCGGTCGTGGATGCGCGCTGCTGATGAGTCTCAAATATAGGACGAAGCGGCCGTCCAGTGCTTTCTGCATTCTGTGGAGTTTTCTTTCAGACTCGATGAATTACTTATAGGGTCTATCAAAAATACTTTTACAAACTTTGGGGGCCGATTCCTCACACCAAAACAAGGGCAAAAGTCCATATAAACGTATATTCGTTTTTTAGTTATTAAGTTTAAAGAAAGTTTACGGTAGATGGCGCTGTGTTGCCATGTAGACTTGATCCATTGTTTGCGGTGCTACGCATCTAGTCTCAGCATAACGACCATAAACAGCAGCAAAGGTTGGACACTCTCTCTCTATCTATCTATCTATCTATCTATCTGTGTGTGTATATATATATGTGTGTGTGTGTGTGTGTGTGTAGAGAGACAGACAGACAGAGAATGTTAGTTGATAGCCAGAGAGACGCCCATCTTTGTGGTCAATAGACGACCATGTTTATTATTTCAGTAATAAGACTCTTTCAATTTAAAAAAAAATATCTAACCATACTCTGGCTCTGAATACAAAGATAAACCTTTCATAAAAGCGACCCGCTTCCATTGCATTCGCTCTGTTGAGCCAAATACGATTCACCTCCTGTGTTCACGCCTCGTTATGCTTAGCGGCTGCACAACGAATAGCATTTTATTTCTTTTGGTGTTTGAAAAATATAAACAGGAGAAAATATTTCTAGATTTGGAGTCTTCGGCACTATTTATTTATTTGTCATTTTACTTTTTTTTTTCTTTCCTTTTCTTCATTTCTTTCTTTTTTTTCTTCCATTTTTCTTCCATTTCTCCCTTCTTTCTTTTTTCCTTTCTTACTTTCCTCTTCTCTTTCTTTCCTTCTTTCTTTCTTTTTCCTTTCCTACCTCCTTTCTGTCATTCTTACTTTCTTTCTTTCTTTCTTTCTTACTTCTTTCTTTCTTTCTTTCTTTCTTTCTTTCTTTCTTTCCTCCTTTCTTTTTTCTTTCTTTCTTTCTTTCTTTCTTTCTCTCTGCCTGTCTGTCTCCCTTTCTTTCTTTCTTTCTTTCTTTCTTTCTTTTTTTCTTTCTTTCTTTCTTTCTTTCAACCTTTCTTTTTTCTTTCATTTTTCTCCCTTCTTTCTTTTTTCCTTTCTTACTTTCCGCTTCTCTTTCTTTCTTTCATTCCTTCTTTCTTTTTTCCTTTTCTACCTCCTTTCTGTCATTCTTGCTTTCCTCCCTTCTTTCTTTCTGTCTTTCTTTCTTTCTTTATTTATTTATTTATTTATTTATTTCATTTATTTATTTCATTCTTTCTTTCTCTCCCTTTCTTTCTTTCTTTCTCCCTTTCTTTCTTTCTTTCTTTCTTCTGCCTGTCTGTCTTCTGCCTGTCTTTCCTTTCAACCTTTCTTTCAACCTTTCTTTCAACCTTTCTTTCAATCTTTCTTTTTTCTTTCATTTTTCTCCCTTCTTTCTTTTTTCCTTTCTTACTTTCCGCTTCTCTTTCTTTCTTTCATTCCTTCTTTCTTTTTTCCTTTTCTACCTCCTTTCTGTCATTCTTGCTTTCCTCCCTTCTTTCTTTCTGTCTTTCTTTCTTTCTTTATTTATTTATTTATTTATTTATTTATTTCATTCTGTCTGTCTCTCCCTTTCTTTCTTTCTTTCTTTCTTTCTTTCATTCGGTCTGTCTCTCCCTTTCTTTCTTTCTTTCTTTCTTTCTTTCTTTCTTTCTTTCTTTCTTTCCCTTTCTTTCTTTCTTTCTTTCTTTCTTTCTTTCTGTCTGTCTGTCTCCCTTTCTGTCTTTCTTTCTTTCTTTTCTTTCTGTCTGTCTCCTTTTCTTTCTTTCTTTCTTTCTTTCTTTCTTTCTTTCTTTTTCTTTCTTTCTTTTGTATTAATCTACTTTTTTTCTCAACCTAACACTTCTCTCGCAATTTCACTTACTCCCAGTATTAGTGAATGTCTTTTCTACTTTCCTCGCCACGATTTTTATTGTTTTAAAAACTCATTTTTAGATTTTTAATAAAAGCCAAACATACGAATCTGGATTTATACATTTTTTTCTCGAGGTTCGAAAACAAAAGTACTAAACGCTATTTATGTTATTAGATTGTTTATGTACCAGAATATTTTATATTTATAAGTTTATAAAAACTACAACGCAATATTTATTATTTACCATATTATAAATAAATAACTAGAAAATAATTTTTTTTATTCATAAATTTATAAAAATGTCTGTGAACAAGCGAACAAGAAAAAATAAATAAACACATAACGACGAGTAATTGTAATTATAAAATTATAAATTTTGAAAAAGTGCAATTTTAGGGCATTTCTTTCATTTGCTTTCGCTAAAAATTCTCTAAAATAGTTTGCAAGAATTTCCTTTTTTTTCTCGAGAACTGACAACAAAAAATAAACAAACACTATTTATTTATGAAACTGTTTATTTACAAGAATAGTGTTTAATGTTTTGTTGCCAAATCTAGAGAGAAATAAAAGAGGATGTATAAACCAATTTCATATGTTTGGGTTTTATTAAAATTATAAAAAAATATATTTTAAAAACGGTAAAAAAAAGTCCCGGAAAAGATTACGTTAATAGCGGTGTCAATCGAGAAATCGTACTTCTAACACAGATTTTTCAATTATAATTTTTATTTTTTGCGTGTATATTTGTTAAACTTTGCCATCTTATTTCATCTTCTTTCATTTCTTGTTTTAGATTTATTTCTTCGCGAGTTCAAATAAATTTGATTCATCTATTTTCTTGCGAAAGAATTTCTTTTCTTTTTTCTCCTTTTTCTTTACTAGGATTTTTGGCACCAACAGGCGTGTGTTGAAATCCGCACAGTATTTAGTATTGTTGAAGTTATCGCTGACATTTTTTGTCGAGATTTACAAACTCTACATTTCATGCAACTTCGGAAACCAATCGATGAAATTTGAATAAAGCCGATTTGTTTGGGAAAATATTTTGCAAAGACCCAACTTCACGGTTTAATAATTTCTTTAATCTAATTTTATACGACTTGATGGTAAACAAGATTTTTTAAGAAAATTTCTTTTTTTTTCCTTTTTAACAGGGAAGATAAAATTCTTAGTATTTCTTACTCTTGAGCATGCAACATACAACTGGCTATGTGTAAATATTTCTTTCTAGAGCCAAATTACAACTTTTTGAAGCGTTTGGCCTTGCGATTTGTCTATAATTCTCGCAGGGTGAACTGGATTCTTGTATATAAAAACTTACAGGAAAAATATCCCCCCCAAAAAAAAATATTGCATTTTATTAGTTACTTTAAACATTAAATTGGCTTTAAAATAATGGGAGTATTTTATATGTTAAATAACAAAATTTATAATTTTCGTCAAAAATTAATGAAAATTTATTGTACTAAACTACGCACCCTAGTAAAATCAACTGTATTTTGTAAACCCTCCCCCCACTTACATGTTTGAACTTCTCTCCAAAATTTGATTTCGATCGGTCGATGTATGGCTATTTTAGAGGGTGTGACGCACTAATGGAAGTCACAGAATTTTATATATAGATTAACCGATTTTTCTTCATTTTTACTAAGGACACAGATTGTTGTTGTTGTTCTTCTTCTTCTTCTTCTGATTCCTCTACTTCTTTTTTTCTCTTCCTCTTCTTCTTCTTCTTCTTCTTCTTCTTCTTCTTCTTCCTCTACTTCTTCTTCTTCTTCTTCTTCTTCTTCTTCTTCTTCTTCTTCTTCTTCTTTCACGTTTGTTTCTTTATTTCCTCCTACTTCTTTTCTTCTCCACCTCCTCTTCTTCATTTTTTATCTCCTATCTTCTTAACTCCATTTTTCCTAATTTGGTCTCGTATTGTATTAATGTATTCGTGTGTGTTTATACATGTTCATATATGCGTGTGTATTATGAATGTGCTTCTATATCTATGTGTGTGTGTATATGCGTAGACGGTGAGAAAATGGAGGTACGAAAACCTAGCGGTTAACGGAGATGAGAATGGACGAGTCGAACCGAGTTCAAACATAAGAAGGGACAATCTGCATTCATTTCGTACTGATGGCCTTGGGAAAGGTAGGATCTACTTTTTACCAAGTTCGGTTGCAGATCTTTGACCTTCTACAGACAATGCATCTGGGTCGTTCCATAATAAGTCACTCAGAGGTCACATTTTGTTGCTTATACCATATAATCCGTATAATTTGTTAACGCAGGGGGGGGGAAATGGGAACTGTAAAGTGTCTCTGATTACCCAGACAAATGAATGTATTTTTAAATGTGTTTTATTTTCGTTTCCGACTTATTGGAGCTCTTTGAATTTTCATGTCATTTTTTGTTTCAAAATTCTAATCAACATTTCAACATATATATATATATATACCTACTAAAAATAATGTTCTTTGTAGTAATTTCAGATAAAAATCTATTCAAAAATACACGCAAACACATACACACGTGTGTATGTGTGTGTGTGTGCGTGTGTGTGAATAATTTCTAACCTAATAATGAAAAATTGGCAATCCTTAACTTTCTTAGTTGCAAAAAACAGTGTATCAAAACGACTTTTTTTTCCGTTGACACTGATATTATTTTAACTACCTTTACTCCTCTGAAATGTTTATTGTTTTAAAAAGCCATTATTAAAACTTGAATAAAACGTAAACATATGAAAGTGAATTCATACATTTTTTGTTCTTGAGACTTGATAAGAAAAATAATAAACAGAATTTATTTATTAGATTCCTTATTTACACTATTTATTTATCAGATTGTTTATTGGAATGGTTGGCAAAACATCGGCTAATACCAATCGATTCGAACTTTATAAAATGGTAAATAATCAGGATTTCCTTTTAGTTGGTTCACATATTTTAATAATTTCGTAAATGTTTATAAATTTATCAATAAATTTTTTTTCGTATTTTTTTCTTTAAAAATTGGTGAATGATAAATATTGTATTGTATTGTATTAGATTAGTTTAATACGATTGTTTTAATTTTTAGAATTCTTGTTTTTTTTTAAACAGTAAGGTTTAACCTCTAAAAGGCCTGGGAGCCACTCGGGGTCATTTTAAGAGGCACAGTTTATACGGATAGGAAAAGATAACGGTTAACCCTAGATTGAACAGGAAAACATTTTCTTGGGAGTCGGTTCCACAGAGTAGTGGTTCGCGAGAAGAAGCTGTTCGAGTGGAACTTACTTCTCAGCGATGGAATACGGGGGCAATGTGGGTGGTTTACTACGATGTAAGTGGCATGGTGGGTCCTAGCCGTAAGATTAAACCTGGCGGAACCAAGTAATGTAGTTCGTCCGAGCACTTTCCATGGATGTAGTGACAGAGCAGTGATAGGCTCACCATATCCCGCCTTGTAGCAGAGAGATTCGCATTATTCTTTTAATATGTATTCTTGTCAATGCACTTAATTCAATAGTGATTATTAATTGTACAGATTAAATACAATATACAGTAATTTTAGATTATATTAAGTTAATATTTATGTATCGGAGTGCGAATGAAGTGACCTCTTTCGTTCTAGAGTTTTTCGTATTAGTTATGAGAGCCGGAGATTACAGCGGCCGAAACGATGTGATGGTAGCAGCAAGGACGAGGACAATAGTCCGAGTGTAAATAAGTAAATAAAAATTGCAATGGTATTATTAGCCGTTTCCTTACAAGGAAATATTTGCCATTCATTGACCGAGCAGCCAATATTGCTTTCGGTTAAAATTTATAAAAAACTTTCTTTTAAAACATCTTTTTAGGAAAACAGGTTTTTTCAAGTCCAGTAGCTGTTATTGTGTATTCTGTAACCCCTTGCATGCTAGTGGCACTATTGCTTTGCTTGGGGTGAATTGCTTAAAAAAAAGAAATATGTTGTTAGAACGTCCACTATAAATTGTATTGCTGATAATTTTACTATAAATATATATTGTTGGTAATTTTACGATAAAAATATATTTTTATACTCTCATAGTGTTTTGTTTGAAGTTTTCCTATTTTCCCATATCTGGGATCCTAACAGGTGTTACCACTCCGGGTCAGAGTTGACCTGCGGAAAACAGCAATTAGGAGGTGGTTCCACGCTCTTCAAAACATCCAAGCTGTGGATCAGAGGCCTTGATGCCGGGTGTAGTTTATGGTCATACCCAGGACTAATGAGTTAGATGCTTCATAGTGAAATCATGATAAAAGTAAACGTGATGTTATAGTAACGAGAAAAATAATTGTACGATTAGATTAGTGATTGGAACTACTTTCTTTAAAAGATAGGACCATGAAGACCATACCATCACATCTCACTATTGACCTTGTGTCATATTTTATTGTACATAAGCAAATACTTATGGCGCCTTTTGTATTTTGAAACTCTCATTTTTTCTCCCGCACTTCACATCTGTGAAACTCCCTTCCCCTTACTTACTTCCCTGATGACTATAATCTTCAAACATTCAAGTGTAATGCCAATCGACATCTGACACCCTGAACTTGTTCCATGGCCTTCTCTGTATCCTTTCCTCAAACACGCCTCTTTACTCTTGTTGTCAATCCTCTGTAACACCTTGCGTGCTAGTAGCACTCCTGCCTTGCTTTGGGGTGATTTGCTTTAAAAAAAAAAAAACTTTAGCTGTCAATAAATGAAAGCTGGCCTAACGTAATGTTACGCGCTAAACTTTAACATTCTTTTTTGTCATTCAGACATATTGAGACTATTAACACAGTAGCTTCCAATCTGACACTGGAAATTAAAAAAATACGCGCCGTACTCTTTGTATTATCGGTAGGTAACAACGACTTAGAAATGGCCAGCTTCTTTAAAATGACCAGGTGAATAGAAGCAACAACAGGTGACCACGAGCAGACCCCACAATGGTAACTACACTGATACACGCCGAATTCACCTTGTCTGGGTGTGCCGAACAACGACATCCAAGTCATTTGGTTCTGCTACTTTCAGCAAGTGTTCAAGGTTAATACCATTGCATACATCAAGGTGTTGGCCGCATTTTTCCCCCTCTAAAACTGTGCTCCCTCTCACATGGTCAACATAACCCTGGAATGGCTGACCGAGAATGTTTCACAATCATGTCACACCCAACATGCGGCCTATTAACTTCGCCCGATTTAAATCCCCTGTGTCTGGGATATTGCCGAGAGGTAGACCAAACAAAATATCCATAATATGAAGGACACGTTGAAGGACACCTTCGTCTACGTGACGGCCCACATGTAAGAGAACTGCCTAATCTTGGCCTGCAGTCTCTTTCAAGGCCACATTCGAAGGCGTCTACAAGGCTGATGGCGATTTTACTGAATGACATTTTTTTTTTCTGTTTTTATGAATTAAACACGCGTACAAGTTCTGAAGAAAAGATAATGATTATTTTTGTTGGATACTTTTTTTTTTTGATATTATAATTTGTTCTCAATTACCTGACACACCCTGTATATAAGATATACTAGACCACCCCATAAACCGATTGGCTCCCTTTTTAAAGAAGTTCATGTTACAAAATGATACAATAACAATATTATCAATTTTATTATTAAACTTATTTAAACTTGTATTTGCAATACAAGTTATTATAATACCTATTTGGACACCTCGACGTGGTGTAATGTTTAGGAAGCTTGTCTTGCTAGATCAATTACGACTGAGTAGTGAGTTCGATCCTCACTGGATGCCCCATACTTTCGGCCTTGTGCCACATCTAAGCCGGGCTTAGAAAATCGCTATTGTAATAATTATTACTACTCGCATTATACAATATTATTTAGATGAAATGCAATAATGAATGCCAAGGTTTTCAGAATTTTTTAATAAAATGCACTCCCTGATATACAGAATAACAGAAAATAACAAACTTTCAGCAGATTAAAATTATTAATATGATAGTTTTAAAAGTTCATATATTTGCTTAATGAAATTCATCTAGAAATTCAATGATATCTGTTAAATTATCAAACAACTTCAGAATGAACAATAAGTTAACAATATCAGAATGACATAAGCGGCCTATCATCGTTTCAGGACAATAACCCAGCTTTAATTTGAAACGTCCCTTTAATGCAAGATTCTCCTGCAGTAAAAAAGAATTAACATTTTTAGAATAGAGTTACAAACTGATATCACACTAAAAAAACATCTCAGATCAAGTAATAGTAGACCCGTGGATAACAATTTATATATTTTTTTGTATTTACCATATTATAATTTTCAAAGCTGAAAGTCATTCCAAAAAAAAATAGCTATCGTCTACTTAGGGAAATTTATATTTATTGGAATAACATAAAGAGTGGATGCCTCCTTTTTGTGCACTTAGTTTCATTATTTTCAAGGTAATTTTAGAAGCTATTATATTTTGTTATTATACATACTTTGTGTCTTCCTCGTCTTCATTTCAAAATATGTTAACGTATATTTATTTTTTTTATCTACCGTTATGTGTCACAATTTTCTCGCCATACAGATTACGTTTTACAATGACACACCCACTGAGCCTCTTCAGCTATAAAATTGTTTCTAAATATCCGAGATATTTGTTTATAGAAGAAAATGTAATGTAGAGAATTGTATAAATATATGTTGTGTTATACATATTTAAATTTATTTACTAATGTTTTTATAATGTATTATGAATTTTCATTATTTTTCACACAGATGGAATATAATATGCAAGCGTTTTGTTTATATACGTGGATTGATATAAGAATTTGCATAAAAAAATTATTCAATTTGATATTTAAAAATGGCGT